GACTCCGTATCTCGAGACATTAAATCTTTATGGATGTGTTGATTTGGAAGAACTTCACATGCCCATTGAATGGCTAAGGCTCAAATCCCTTGACCGATTGAAATGTCTAGAGGAGCTAAATTTGTTGTCTACGAAGATTACACATCTGCCGGATAGCATTTGTAAGCTAAAACATTTGAAATATCTCAAACTTGATCGTTGTTGGTTTCTTGAGAAGTTACCTGAAGATCTTGGCCGATTAGAATGTTTAGAGAAGCTAATCCTATCGGWGTGTGTAATTCTACGACATATTCCTGACAGCATCTGTAATATGAAACTTCTGCAGTATTTTCTTCTCCCTGGTTGTATTGCGATTGAGAAATTACCGGAGGAAATTGGACGATTAAAATGCTTAAGAGAGTTAAATATAGAAGGTACAAACATAAGACATCTTCCTGAAAGCATTTTTGAGTTGCGATGTCTGCGCATTGTTGGTTATAGACGGCTTCTTTAGTCGTATGGTCTTACATCCCCGATACAAACCTCAAAAGACGAAGCATTCTTCTACGTAGAGCTGTGAATAACATTCTGGCAACAACAACAGAAGTCTCCACGGATGATTTTGAGAGGTACAAAGGCCAAAAAAGCTAATTCACAAATAACTATATATTGTAACAGGTGATTCTTTTACCATTTCTTTTGTTTTATGGTCAGTTGCATGCTTTTTTCAGCTATGTTGTTTGTTTTCGTGTGCTTCGTTTCAGCACTTCATTGAATCAAAGGATCATACCCTCTTCACATGCCGTGATGAACTTGATGTTTAATCTCGGGTCTCATGATTTGGTTTCAGCTCAATCAGTTTTCCATAGCTGAAACCTTTTTGTCAGATGTGAGACTTCTTATTATGTTCCTGCAGTCTCAACTCCCTTTTAGAAAATTACTTCATCGGTTACATCRCATTTCATTCATTTTTACAGGATCTTGGACAATGTTGCCGTAACGAGGACTCTCATGTTCTATAAGTCAGCATAGATATCTTGTTGGTCCGAATGCTTTGCTGTTTGCTTCGTACGTAGCAACTCAAACCGTCAAGACATGTGAACGGGGTTTAGGTGATGTTTGATTAATTGATGTTTTGCTTCAAGAAATGCAGGAAGACTCRAGACATTGTTTTAGGTTAGCTATGTTAAGTCTATGTTTTGTAACTTGACATTTTTTGGTTTATGTTTTGAAAGTTCCCTTATCTAAGGGGCCGTTTACCAAACACTTACTTGGTAAGCGTTTACCGGTAAATTTAACATCATCATTTACTTACCTGGTAAGTGTTTACCGGTAAATTTAACACTACCATTTACTTACCGGGTAAGATTTTAGTCCACCAAAAAACGATATCGTACGCAACAATTTACTTGGTAAGCGTTTACCATGATAAGAGTCGTAATCCTCACTTACCGGGTAAGACTCTTGGTCTTTGTTTCACTCTTATCGGGTAAGATTTTTGGTCCTTACCATATTCATCCGGTAAGGTAACGTAACTTGATGTTCACTTATCCAAGTAAGCGTTTGGAAAACAACCCCTAAATGTTACATTCTTCCCTATATAATCTTCTCTAACTCCAACCTGTTGCAACTTAAAATCCCAATGCAGATTAGCCAAGCATTCTACAATCTTAGCAACAAAGAGTGCAGGACTAGAAGAAAGCACCCATTTAAGTCTTGAAGTCCATTTAGATGGTTGCTGATCGGGTTTCCCGAGATACGCGCAAACAGTGTCTCCCGTGGCTGGTCATGCCGTGATTCGCGCCAAACACTGTGTGCTCGTTTTCTTATCTATTAAYGGTTTTCTGTTATCCACCATACCTATATATATTGTGATCACTACGCATCTTTTGTTTAATTTGTTTGTTGTGTTATATATGTATAAGGGTGCATCATGGCGGTTAAAAACACAAAAGAATTCATGTTGCCTATCAAGGGAATGTGTTGTTCAACCTTMTTTTCTCCTCTTCGGATCGAATGTATCTCCATCACATTTTGCTAAAAACGGGATATAGAGATGACACTAWAACAAAATCGGGTTTATTATGWTGCTCCCAATTTCTAAGCGTCCTAATAGACCTCTTTATAGAACTTATTCTATAGGACCAAAAACTAAAGTGTTATATCTAAAGACGTTGTAATAAGTTCATATGACGTTTTTTGACGTCTTAATAAGTTTTTTAGGACATCTTTAATGTAAAGCGTCTTGTTAGCAATTTTATAGGACATTATTTGAAAAAACGTCCTATAAAAACAAGTGTCCTATAAAAAATTCAGTTTATAGGACACTTTAAAAGTGTCCTATAAAGTTGCTAATGCGACGCTTTGTATTAAAATTTTCCTAAAAAACTTGTTAAGACGCTCAAAAGCGTCATATAAACTTATTACAACGCCTTTCGATAGGACGTTTTATATTTTGGTTCTATAAATTAAGTCCTATAGAGCRGTTTATTGCGATGATTAGAGATAGAGGGGCARCCAATAAACCTAATTTTGTTGTAGTGATTTGCTCAAATAGTGTCCTATAAAATAACTAATATGACATTTTATTTTAAAGATCTTCTAAAAAATTTGTTAAGACGATCAAAARCATCCAATAAACTTATTATAACACTTTTAGATAAAATTTACTGCTTATTTTTATTKGTCGTAAGTCTTTCAGATTCTATTTCATTTCTCACAACCGTAGGTTTTTAGTCTTTTGACAATGCCGCAAAACATTCTCTTCAAATACCTTTCTACAAAGSTAATAAMGAATAGTTAAGGTTTATGTATTGTGTATGAGTTGTTGGTAAAGGCAACCCATAAGCTAGAATCCTGTCAAAGGCGAGGATTAATCAAGTGTCTCCAACGTTT